CCAACGAGTTACAGACCACTCTTTCCCCATGTAAGTCAATGGGAAAAAGTGTTTCCGGGCCCAGCAACCAAACGGAAGTGTAGTACCGCCGTTTGGCCACTACGAATATTCTCATCAGACTCCGGCGCACTTCCTGGGGGCTTGCTTGAGACTTGCTTGACTAACATTGATAAAAGACTTGACTTGAGTTTGACTTGGTATTCATGACTTGAGTCTTGACTTAAGCTTGAGATAGATGACTTGAAAGGACTTGACTGTTTAAAATAAAAATATTTGCGTTTGTTTTTAGCGAGATATTACGTTTAGTTTTTTTGAAAAACGTGATTATAGCGCCATGCGCGCAAACCTGGCAACCCACTAGAAGGCAGGAGTCTCAGTTAACATGGCGGCGGCTAGCGTTACTCCAAAAATAGTGACGTTTGGATTCAAGGATTATTTTGTCGATGACGGTAATAAGAAGAGAACAGCGGTATGCAGGGTCTGCAGCATAAAGATCAGTGACAAGACCACCACAACATCCAACTTCATTCGTCACTACAAAAACACCACAGAGAAAGGTGCGTGAATGTGTTGTGTTAGCTAGAAAGCTAACGTTAAGTTTAAGCTACGTTAGTAGTGCTGTAGCGACGCGTCGACTTCAAAATATCGTCGACGACATATTTCCGCGTCGACGCGTCGCTACACACACGTGGGTCACCCAAAGCAACAAGCAGTTCGCAATCGCACTTCAAACACAATGGAGACTGAAACGGCTACCACCTCCTCCTCACAGGATTGCGCACGAAGCCCCCAAACGAAAACATCTCGCCCTAGGTCTTCAAAAGCATGGGAATATTTTAAAGTTAGTCCAAAACGCAAAGATATTTATATATTTATATCTCACTGAGACTGCTGCATAGCATAGCAGAAGCAGCAGCTAGCTGTGGTGGCTACCATTAGCAGCTAGCATTTGCTCTCCGATTTTTACATAAAATGGAATTATGGATTATAAATTCAATCATTTTTTGCTGCCATACAATCTCCGTGCACTAGAACTGCGAAACACTCACCCCCGCAACGCTACTCCCAAACAACCAGCCGCACCCAGCGACGACAGCAGCTGCGCGAAATCCGTCCCCACAACGGACATCCAGTTGCACACGCTTCCCAGGTCCAAAGCATTTTTTTATACATAGACGTTAAAAACCTATGGATTAACCGATTCAGCCGCGTTTTTGCTCATTTTATTGCCATTGAACACGTCTTTTGATCAGATTACGGTGGTGAGACGATCTCCCGAGAAGCTCTGTGAAGGTACGTGTTGTGATGACTGTATTTGCTTCCCCTGTCGCGAGTCCGGATCACTCAGTGATGATACTATATACCTACATAATCTGTGGAGTCTCAGCTTTAATCGGATATCTTGTATGTGCAGCTACGATAAGTAATAAGGGTACTTTTATCTTGAGTTCTGTGCCAATGTCCGTTAGCATTTTTCTCTCAGGGGTAATTTAGATGCTTCTTATGAGACTTGTGTTTTGTTTTGGTAAACATGGTTTGTATCGTCAGTTAGCTGAGATTATTTCCGTTAATCTGGTATAACACATTAATAGGTTCTTAAATATTAAGATCCCCTGAGACACAGTATCGTGAAATTTTTTTTTTTTTACATTACGTGAATTATGAATTGAACAACAGAAAAATAATCGTTAGATTAGTCGACTAATCGATCAAATAATCGCCCGATTAATCGTTTTCAAAATAATCGTTTCCCCCCAGCACTATACGTTAGACCTGGTTTCAAATCGATTAAGCAAAGAGAAGACAACATGGTAAATGAACACTAGAACCTCCAAGGGATTCATTTGGACTAACCCTGATACTGACGGGCTGTCAGGAGAGGGAGAGAGAGGAAAATAGATGCCTCGTTTATTTCCCCTGTGTTATTATCAGAAGTTACTGTAAACTTTTGAATAATGTAGTTCATCTACTTTTTAGTAGTTTGTTTAAATGTTTTAATTATGTTATTTTTGTTTGTAGAAGTGCAAAATTAACCAAATTAAGTGAGTTTTAAATCGTCCTACTTAGTTTATAAGGACATTTTGAAGAGGAACAAATTAAATGATTTAAAAATGATATGTAGGTGCTGACGCTGTTGGCGGTTCTAGTGTTAACAGAAATTTAAATTAAATTATGTGTAGGTAATGGCATTTGCCATATGATTTTCTTACCTGGAATTCTGCCTTTTTGAACAGACATTTTGATTGAGTCCTAGCTATTGTCTGCAGTTCTAGGGTTAATATGAATCTAATATGATTGTCATCGGTCTGAATTAGATTTCAAATGATTAAAGGTGGGGTAGGTAAGTTTCAGAAACCGGCTCGAGATACACTTTTTGTTATATTCCATGGAATGCTCTTAACATCCCGATAGCAATGAATATCTTAAGTGCTTTGACAAAAAATCCATAACAAAATTTAATCTGTGGAAGCCGTAATACTGTAAAAAGCACGACCAATCCGTTTAGCCGGGCCGGCTAAACGGATTGGATTGCCGCCCTGTCTGTCAGCCTTCCATTTCGTGCACGCACAAATGTATCTCGTGCTGTCATTGGGCGTGCATTGCAGCAGTACTTAAATGACTCGCCAGCAACAGACGGCCACTTTCACCAGTCTGCTGACGTCATGTGCGCGTTCATGTGTGTTGGAGGAGGTGCTCTGTAAGGAAGTCTGAAGAAAGGGGCGGATTCTTTTTGGCTGTGTACTTTCAAATTTTAGTGCACTCGAGCTGGTTTCTGAAACTTACCTACCCCACCTTTAACTGTGTATGTAATGAAGATCATAGGGTGGGTTAAATCCATTTTCATAACCACTGTCTTTTAACTGATTTAAATGCGGAAACTGGGCTTATTCATCAGACTTTCGTATGACTTGACTTGACTTGCTTGACCTGAGCAATGACTTGACTTGACTTGCTTGACTCTCACCACAGTGACTTGGGACTTGCTTGATACTTGTAGGTCAATACTTGAGACTTGCTCATGACTTGCACATGTAGGACTTACTCCCACCTCTGCAATTTGCCACATAATTAGACAGACACACACTCGCAAACACACACACTCTCAAACCCACACACACACACCCCAATATGACTGAGAAAGATTCAGGGGAGAAACTGATTTAAATGGAAAAGGGGTAGCTACAATTAAAAACACAGCAAAGAAGAGCTGGAGGGAGTAGTGAGGAGAGGCACGTGCCTCCTCAGCGTTTTATTTACTTGCCCTTTGTTTTATTTAGCCAAGAGTGATTTAAGTTGTACCTTTTGAGTTTTCTATATTGAATTAAAGGGCCAACCACGGCCAAACTGCCCTCCGTTTCCTGAGTCTCTGTCTGCACCCTCGCTGCGAGGGGGACCCAAGTTCCCATCAGCAAAAACACGTGGGTTTGCTGTCCTGGCTCCAAGATGGTGGAATGAGCTCCCCATTGACATCAGGACAGCAGAAAGCTTACACACCTTCCAGACTGAAAACTCATCTCTTTCGACTCCACTTCGAGCGTTAGAACTATTAACAAAGCACTTATATACTAATAAAGGACTGGCTTATCTAAAGCCAGTTGAGTAGCACTTGAAATGTTTGGCTCTATGAAACCTGATGTACTTTATGATTCTGTTTTCTTCAAGGTTGTGTCTTCCTGGTCGAATGTACTTATTGTAAGTCGCTTTGGATAAAAGCGTCAGCTAAATGCAATGTAATGTAATGCTCCTCTAGCATTTTAAACGGTTAGTGGCTGTCCCTGCCCCATGGTCTGTCACAGTAGTGCGGGAAAGAGAAGTGCACTGTTTTGCCTAAGTCACAACAACATGTTCAAGTAATCTAATACTCTTATTTCACACAACAGTGTTATTTGTACGTCAATAGTCATTTTTTGAAAACCTCAAATACGACTTGGGCCATTAGTTTAAGAAGGTGACGATATACAACTGTGTGTGGTTAAAACAAATAAGTAGAACACCAGGAATAATAAGCAACGGCTCAAATCTGTGGATCAAAATGTAATAATAATGCATCATCAATATTATTTACTAAATGTATTTAAAAAAAAAGGTGTAGAAATAATTCCTCGGATTAACCCCTGGAGCGACCAGTGTGAATATGTAACATTCATGAGAATAAAGGTTAGACAAAAGGACTTCTGTTCACACACATATACAAGTTTACATCTGTGTCTTTATTGTTATCATGTTAACAAAACAGGTGAACACGTAACATCTCAGTTTAAGGACAAGTTGTGCGAGATGCACAAACTGAGGGAAAGAATGTTGAACAAGGCGCATCATTCCACTTCTCCCTCCAGTTGTTGAGAACACAGTCTTCACCTAGTTCGTTGTTGTTTGGTTGTCCTTGATCCCAAAATAAATACTTGGCTACACACCCATCAGACCACATCCATCTTCCTTCTTCGTAGATGTCATTGAGTCCGATCCATGTTGCTCCCCCAGTAGGGTCAGATTCTTTTATCAGGATTTTGACATATTCCTCTTCCTCTGTGCTGTGGATAGACACCAGGTTGCCTCCCTGGGACACACAGTGGAGCTCTGCATCAGCCCAGGTCCTCTCTGTGTTGAAGTACTTGTAGCAGCGGCCGTTGAAGGAGATCCAGAAGGAGGGACAGGCGTCTTGCTGTAGCTCCATTTGAGGGGCAACAGCACCCAGAGCCAGGCCCAACAGGAAGAGGAAAGCCAGCATGATGATGTCACCGTCTCTGTCTGTTAAAGTTGCACTGAACCGTTGGAGAGATGGAGATTGTGAAGCTTCAAGTGACAGGCTGCTTCTTATATATGTGTGGGAATGTGACGTCATTGTCACGTGACGTGATCACATGACCGGTAAAATGTGGCACTGCACTTGTATGTACCAGTTGAGCTGGTTCTTCCACCAGTTCAACTCCCTCATCATGAACGCAGGAGGCTGGCTGTATATCGGAACTCGCGCCCTCATCATCCTCTTCATCATCTTGCACTTGTTCTAAGCTGCTGATGATAGTGCTTGGAGCAGCGCTGCTGCCAAAAAGGTCTGTCGAATTGCGACATTTATATGCTCCACCTGCGAGTGACTTCACCTTTTTCTTTTCTTTGATTTGTATCCATGTTTTTTCATTCTCCCTGTCTGCCGCGGCGTCTACCCTGCTGAAAAAACCAGCTCAGACCAACTTAGCTGGTCAGGCTGGTTGTTGACCAGCCTGGCTGGTTTAGAGGGGTTTTGGACCCTTTAGCTGCCAGGATGGCTGGTTTAGCTGGTTTAGCTGGTTTAGCTGGTGCACCAGCTCAACCAGCTCAACCAGCTAAACCAGCCATCCTGGAAGCTAAAAAAAATAGTATACTGGGCTGGTCACCAGCATCCATCTATCAACAGTTTATGTTTAATAATAGTATTAAATATACCCTGCTGGGAGCTTACCAGGATTCCAGGTGACCAGCATACATTAAATACTGGTATGATTATTTAAACTAGAGAACATAAATATATTACAAAGATTCATCGTGTCATGTATTCTGGTATCGACCAAAATAAAGACATTGTATCATGTTCATAACAGTATTTAAATGTAATAAATAGCTAGTTAATATAATAAAATACACAGTAACAATACAAATAACAACCAACCTGCAAATCAACCTACACATCAAAATAAATATATTATCTACAACCGGTGCATTTGATTTAAAATAAAAGTAATAAATAGAATTCAATATTTAAATGGTAACAAAAACAGTAACACTATGTATGATAAGGAAAAGGCAACAAAGAAAGTGTTTTTTGTTTCTCCTTGTTCATGTCCATAATGTTTCCCGCTGTGTAGCGTCCAGCCTTTCCCAATCTGGCCTGCACTTCTGTCTGTTGAAGCCACTTCTTCAAGCAAACTGAAAAGAAATGTACAGATATAAGTACACTGTAAAAAGAAAACTTGACATTTACGTTAACATTTGGGCTGCTGTGGTTGCCAGAACCGTTAAAGTATAGTAAAATACATTACAAATTACAGTCGGTTGGCATAGACGTTACAGTCAACAATTGCTTATGGTGAATTGCAATGGCAAAAACAAATAGAGCTAGTGTACACGGTGCAGCTGTATTATCTGAGGAACAGAAGAATCGGATCAGGATTCGGTATTGGCAGACAATCAATATCAAATTAATCGGATCATTATTAGCATCTGATCACCTTTGTCGACTTGCAGCCTAAATACAAAGATAACTCCACTCCTCTCCTACCACTCTTACCTCTAATGGGCATTGGTAGAACTAGTGTCCGAGTCATAGGGTCCAGAACTGACTGAAGACATGTGGAACAGAGTCAGAGGATCCAGAACTGACTGAAGACATGTGGAACAGAGTCATGGGGTCCAGAACTGACTGAAGACATGTGGAACAGAGTCAGAGGGTCCAGAACTGACTGAAGACATGTGGAACAGAGTCATGGGGTCCAGAACTGACTGACGACATGTGGAACAGAGTCAGAGGGTCCAGAACTCACTGAAGACATGTGGAACAGAGTCAGAGGGTCCAGAACTGACTAAAGACACGTGGAACAGAGTCATTGTGTCCAGAACTGACTGAAGACATGTGGAACCGAGTCAGAGGGTCCAGAACTGACTGAAGACATGTGGAACAGAGTCATGGGGTCCAGAACTGACTGAAGACATGTGGAACAGAGTAATAGGGTCCAGAACTGACTGAAGACATGTGGAACAGAGTCATAGGGTCCAGAACTGACTGAAGACATGTGGAACAGAGTCAGAGGGTCCAGAACTGACTGAAGACATGTGGAACAGAGTAATAGGGTCCAGAACTGACTGAAGACATGTGGAACAGAGTAATAGGGTCCAGAACTGACTGAAGACATGTGGAACAGAGTCAGAGGGTCCAGAACTGACTGAAGACATGTGGAACAGAGTCATAGGGTCCAGAACTGACTGAAGACATGTGGAACAGAGTCATGGGGTCCAGAACTGACTGAAGACATGTGGAACAGAGTCAGATGGTCCAGAACTGACTGAAGACATGTGGAACAGAGTCATTGGGTCCAGAACTGACTGAAAACATGTGGAACAGAGTCAGAGGATCCAGAACTGACTGAAGACATGTGGAACAGAGTCATGGGGTCCAGAACTGACTGAAGACATGTGGAACAGAGTCATAGGGTCCAGAACTGACTGAAGACATGTGGAACAGAGTCAGAGGGTCCAGAACTGACTGAAGACATGTGGAACAGAGTCATGGGGTCCAGAACTGACTGAAGACATGTGGAACAGAGTCAGATGGTCCAGAACTGACTGAAGACATGTGGAACAGAGTCATTGGGTCCAGAACTGACTGAAGACATGTGGAACAGAGTCAGAGGGTCCAGAACTGACTGAAGACATGTGGAACAGAGTCATGGGGTCCAGAACTGACTGAAGACATGTGGAACAGAGTCAGAGGGTCCAGAACTGACTGAAGACACATGGAACAGAGTCATAGGGTCCAGAACTGACTGAAGACATGTGGAACAGAGTCATGGGGTCCAGAACTCACTGAAGACATGTGGAACAGAGTCATTGGGTCCAGAACTGACTGAAGACATGTGGAACAGAGTCATAGGGTCCAGAACTCACTGAAGACATGTGGAACAGAGTCATTGGGTCCAGAACTGACTGAAGACATGTGGAACAGCGTCATAGGGTCCAGAACTGACTGAAGACATGTGGAACAGAGTCATGGGGTCCAGAACTGACTGAAGACATGTGGAACAGAGTCATGGGGTCCAGAACTGACTGAAGACATGTGGAACAGAGTCATAGGGTCCAGAACTGACTGAAGACATATGGAACAGAGTCAGGGGGTCCAGAACTGACTGAAGACATGTGGAACAGAGTCAGTGTCCAGAACTGACTGAAGACATGTGGAACAGAGTCAGAGGGTCAAGAACTGACTGAAGACATGTGGAACAGAGTCAGGGGATCCAGAACTGACTGAAGACATGTGGAACAGAGTCAGAGGGTCAAGAACTGACTGAAGACATGTGGAACAGAGTCATGGGGTCCAGAACTGACTGAAGACATGTGGAACAGAGTCAGAGGGTCCAGAACTGACTGAAGACATGTGGAACAGAGTCATGGGGTCCAGAACTGACTGAAGACATGTGGAACAGAGTCATGGGGTCCAGAACTGACTGAAGACATGTGGAACAGAGTCATGGGGTCCAGAACTGACTGAAGACATGTGGAACAGAGTCAGATGGTCCAGAACTGACTGAAGACATGTGGAACAGAGTCATGGGGTCCAGAACTGACTGAAGACATGTGGAACAGAGTCAGATGGTCCAGAACTGACTGAAGACATGTGGAACAGAGTCATGGGGTCCAGAACTGACTGAATACATGTGGAACAGAGTCAGAGGGTCCAGAACTGACTGAAGACATGTGGAACAGAGGACAGGCATGGTTCCATGAACAGGGAACTGGAACTTTGAACGGGTGTTTTCATCTTTTCTGCCTGAAGATTCACAAGTTCTTGATCAGGTGTTCGATGTGGGCTGGCATGATCCTTTCTGCAGCGATAAATAAAGAAAACAAAGAAAACATTGTTAATAATAGAAATGATGGTAACAACAATAATATTAGTATAACTATTTATATAGCACTTACACAATTGCAAAGTGATTCTCACAACAAAAATAAAGAACAAAACAATACCAACAATAAAAAAACAAAAGATTATAGGAATGTTAAGAGACAAAGAAATGCTAAACATTCCGAGAGGCCGACTACAAAAGGTAGACTCAATGGCTCTTGATGACATCAATGAGCAGTCCCAATACATGCTGTTGTATCAAAAGAAATAGGTCCAGGTTTCTTCTATTTTGTGTTGGATGATTTGTTTTATTGATTGCTGATGGATGTTAAGATGTGTTTTACAATTATAACAAAAAGATTATTGGAATTGGAATAAAAAAGATTGCAAATCATAGTTTTAATAAAATCACTAGCAATATAGGGTTTATTCAACAGCAGTAAAGCATTACGTTGCTAAATTAACGTACACTGAACTGTAAGACCACTTTCCGCTATGTAGGAAAGGCTCTGATCAGAAGGGTTGACTAGTAGGACAGCAAAGAGGTGGAGGAGGTCTCTGTCATCAACCATTGGTAGATGTTACACCTGAAAGAAAGATAAGGAAATAAGACAACACGGGAGGACAAACATTTTCTTAAGTAAAAGACCAAATCATGTCAAGCTTTAACCTGAGCCTGTTTTTTTCAGTCTTTACAATGCACTGTTGGAAATTACCTTCCAAAGGCTAAATTCAAACTCAATACCATAAATAACTGGGTACCAAAGTGCTTTACCTGATAGAACACGTTCCACACGGAGCAACAACCATCCGGCTGGGCCTTTTGCTGCATATCATCTCCTCCCTCTCTCTCTCTCTGGTGTTAGGTTCCAGTAGATCTCTACTATCTAATACAGTGTGTACATAGGCCCTGTAGGACATGCAAAGAACAGATCAAATCCCGTGACAGACTCACACACTTTGGTGATGTCCTCATCTGATAATGTTTCATTTGTTAGCAGCAAACTAACATTACTCAAAGTATATGTCGGACCCAACTCATTTATAGTATGTTGTTCATCTCCTCAACAATGCTCTGTATCATTGAGTAGAAAAAACCTGTCCCTACAATTTCAGGTAGATTAACACACATTTGTAAGAAAAGTTTACAATGAAGCAAAAGCATCCTCTTTGTATTAAGCTAGCTGTCACACAAAGTACAGCTTAACATGCTAACCTTTGGTGAGCTACAGTTAGCTAACTTCATGTTCAACACAAAACCTCCAATGGCATTACATTGACAATTTTAAACAAAACGTAACTCTCTCAACTTGTAAGATAACGTTAAGTTAACTTACCCTTAACCTCTTAAGCCCGAAGGTCCCCCCAGTGGACCCCTCCCACAGTTTTTTTTCGAGACGGCTTGTTTGAGACAAGCGAGACCTGCGCAGACCTGCGCAATTTTGATCAACGTCTTGC